TCCTATTCTCTTTTCTTCTCTCTCTTGCAAAAGCAAAATGACAAAATTCTTCTCCCTGGCTCGGCACTGCAATCTCTTTCCATCCTTGAATACTTGGAATCAGCTGACACTAGGCTTCTGTGGGGGTTGAAGGTGGGGTATCAGGAAGGGGGGTTTGACTACCTTCTATCCAAAATGCTTATTAAGGCATCTTCCCAAACAAGGGCAGTGCAAACTGTACATTCTGGCAAATAAAACTGTCTTTTCTCAACCTCATCACATGTAGATTTTTATCTAGTTGATCAGTGGGTAAATATAATTCTGGCGATTTGTGGTGGATTATTGTGGACTCTAAGCTCTTGGCCCCGTCTTGCTAACTTCTCTAACAAGAACTTGGGGAAAATATTGGAAGGCACGCTTGTCAAAATTTTTAATGACAGAAAACTAGGAGAGAATAGCTGATGAACTGAGATAATCAATAGTTTGAAATAATAAACCAAAGTAAACTCAATGAAATTGAATAGGCGTAAATGTAAAATCCTACACTTGGATTCAAAAATTTAGAGGAACACATAAGGATTAGAGGCTACCTGGCTGTGATGGTCAATTTCACGTCTCCTTGACTAGGGCTACAGTCTCCAGTTATTAAACCAAACACTAATCTAGTTGTTGCTGTGAGGGTATTTTATGGATGTGATTAAAACCATAAGCAGATGAAGACTTCAAGTAAGGGAGATTATCCTAGATAATCTGGGTTGGCCTGATTCAATCAATTGAAAGGCCTTAAGAATGGAACTGGGGTTTCCTTGAGGAAGAAAAAATTCTACCTGTGAACAGTAGCATTGGCTCCTGCAGGAGAGTTCCAGCCTGCCTTTCCTGACAAACCATCCTCCGGATTTTGGGCTTGCCCAGCCAGCTGTCACAAACACGTAAGCCAACCTCTTACAATAAATCCTTTAATATTAATTTCCTACTGGTTCTTTTTTTTCTGATTGAACCCTGACTGATATACTGGCTTAGCACTTTTAGGTGAGAAAAGATTTCAATTTGCTCTAAATTTGTCATGCATCATCACTGTGAATGGGTGCTGAAAACAACTAACAGGATCTTGGAAACCATCTGCATGAGCCACAGTATTCAGTGACATAGGGAAACAGCTCCATTGCAGGATTGTTACGTCCAGCTCCAACTGCCATAATTTAACACAGACTAAGATCGCTGTTGGGAAGTGATTCTGGTTTACTCTAAGTGAAGAACTTTATAAGAAAGAGATGTATTAAATAATATCACAAGCTGCCTTGTATGATATAGTGTGTTTATTCACAGGTATTTAAGTAGGAGCTGGTGTCATCTACCAGGAATTATCTGATGAAAGATATTAGACTAGATGACCTCTAAAATTCCTTAATTAATTCCAAGATTCTGTATTTTACTTCTAATAACTATGCTTCTATTGCATGCCACTAAAAGTCCTCATCCTTTTAATTCATGCCATCTAATTTCCCTTGTCTGGAAAACACAGCATGTTGGATGTTTTCTGAATGCATTTCTAGATCCATTCCATCCTGCTCTGTGCCCTGGGACACTAATCCACATGGACTGCATCAGTGGACTCCTTTCCCCTCTAGCTCCTGGTTAGGTTTGACTGAAAGGCACCAGCAGGAAGCATGAAGGGTAGGAAGACAATAAGGTAGGTGTAGTTATTTCCTGGCTCCCTGATCTGGGTTGCTGCGGGCTGGCTTTGTCCCTTGACTTAAGGTCATAGTTCTGTCAGAGAGCCCTCTCCACATATTTCTGGTTTTCTTTCTCAGTATTCCAGTAGCCACCACTGCTCTGTGACCCTTCAGGCCTACAGGTGGTAATGCCATTGCTGTTACTAGCCTGGGGGTTACTTTTTGGTTTCCCAACATTTCTGTCTACACTTATGGAAATAGGCCCTTTATTAAACTTTTCTCAAATGACTCAATTTAAATGTGCCAATTATTTCCTGTCAAAACTTTACCTGACACTTCAAGTAACACACATGTCAACATTTCTATGTCAGATCTAGAGCCTAGTCTTTAACCGAGCAGTGAGCCAGTATTTGGGGGGCGGGGGGTAAATGTGGGGGAAAATACTTTTAGAATATTAAAATGTAAAAAATTTAAAAATCTTTGGGGCCAGTCTGGTGGTGTAGTGGTTAAGTTTGTGTGCTCTGCTTCAGCAGCCCAGGGGTTCATGGGTTGGGATCCTGGGTGTGGACCTACACACGACTCATCAAGCCATGCTGTAGCAGCATCCCACATAACAAAATAGAGGAAGATTGGCATGGATGTTAGCTTAGAGCCAATCTTCCTCACCAAAAGTAAAAATAAAAAATAAAAAAATCTTTGTCAAGGCAGTACTCTCATAAAAAACAAGTAGAGACCAGGATCAATAAGAGTCCTTCCAGCTCCAAAACTAACCTCTCTCTCCTCTGGGATCCTTTGGTTCTCAATTTCTATCTATTGCTCTTATTAACAATAATCACTTTTGTATATTTACTTCTCTCAGAAGGAAACATTTTCTAACTTAGGGAAATCTTGATGAATGGACAGTATGGCTATTATAAGTCAGGGATTCTCAGATGTCCTCTGAACATTTAGATAGGCAGCGATGAATGCAATGTATACTCCCTGGAGGTCTGGAGGGCAGGAAGGCATTTCTTTGAAGTCTTAGGTTTGATAATTCAAAATGTGAACTTTGAAATCTGCTGTATACATTATAGCTGTTAGTTCTAAAACAGAAATGTTTTAAATTATTTACCATTATTTATTTCCCTTAAAACCTTCAAGTAAATTTGGTGCTCAGGAAATTGCATCGTATAGTTCAATATTTGCCTAAAATTATTTTGAGAAGGATAGGATTAAAATTTCTTGATATTGTCATGTAGCGTAATGGCTAAGAGCTAGAGGACTGTGGCACCAGACTACCTAAGTTCAAATTGTAGTGTCTTTACTAAATATTAGTTTTTTGATGCTAAGTAAGTTGCTTTACTTCTCTGTGCTACAGGTTTCACGTCTTATAAAGTGGAGATAATATAACCTACATTAAATTGGATAAAGCACCTAATATGGAGAATGCTCAATTAGTTAGCTTATTATTTATTATTATTAGGCATAATATAACCACTTCCATATAAGGGAAAGGAATCTCATGTGAAAGGTGACATTATTTACTCTTTTAAACAGCAGAATCTCTCTTAAACAACCTCTACCTACCTTATTTGCCAAATTAATTTGAGAAATTAAATGCTTTTCACTTCTTCTATCCAGCTTTCTTACTGATGTCCACAGCACACTGAATGCTTGCAGCTAGTGGGATTCTCAGAAGCGTATGTGTGCACTCCTGTTTCCACCCTTTGTGTGCTTATCAAAAAGCAGGAGTGCTTGCTCCCAAACCTGTTTGTACCAGTTGTACTATTATTAAAATTACAGAATTTAATTAAACAATATGTAAGATGATTAAATACAAGTGCAGAAAGAAAATGTGTTTCTAAGTAAAGTAATTGAATTACTATGAAAACATTTGTTAAAGGAAAGCCACTAAAAATTATCCAATTTAATTGTGGGTGAAGCATCTATACATGACAAGGGGGAAAGTCTGCAAATATCTGAAAGGATTCTGCCTACAGATCTTCTCCATAAACGGCTTTAGTTTTTTGTTTTGTTAAAAACCTGAGGTGGGAGGCCGGTGCTTGGCCGAGTGTCTAAGTTTGTGCTCTCCGCTTCAGTGGCAGCCCCGGCTCCGCCAGTTCAGATCCTGGGCGCAGACCTACACATGGCTCGTCAGGCCATGCTGTGGTGGCATCCCACATAGCGGAACTAGAATGACAACTACTGGGGCTTTTGGGGGAGAAAAAATAAAAGAGGAAGATTGGCAACAGATATTAGCTCAGGACCAATCTTCCTGACCAAAAAGCATTAAAAAAAACCAAAAAACAAAACCTGAGATGGGAAATCATAGAAGATGCAGTTTAAGTGTGATTTGTACCAGCAATGCCAATCAGGACACCAATGCTAAATAAAAAGCAGGTCATGTTTCTATGTCAAAAAATGGTCAAATGAATGTTTCAATGCACGTGATTTGGATTTAACATAACTTTAAGATACGTACTTTTTTTGGCAGGGGAGGGCTGAAGAGGATTGGCCCCGAGCCAACATCGATTGCCAATCTTCCTCTTTTTGCTTGAGGAAGATTAGCCCTGAGCTAACATCTGTGCCAGTCTTCCTCTACTTTTTTGTACATGGGATGCCACCACAGCATGGCTTGACGAGTGGTGTAGGTCTGTGCCCAGGATCTGAACCTGCAAACCTGGGCTGCTGAAGTGGACAGTACCAAACTTACCCACTGCACCCCCAGGCCAGCCCCTGTACATACTTTTATAATGCTGTTAAAAACTGATATTCTTAATTTTTCTGTGCCAAAGAAGTTTCTCCCTCTCTTAAATAATATGTTAATAAAATAGAAGTTCATACACATCTGTTAGAAAAGGCTTTCATGCATTAGACTTAAATCAAATGTTGAAAATGATTCTCAAAATTTTATAATTGAGCACCAGTTAACTCCTGCACACAGGATCTATGGAGACATTGTTTATATTTTCTAGACCCATCTTGCATTCAGAGAAATCTATCAACTAATTAAGTGTGTCTTTACTGGGGGCAGTTTTAGATTGCTAGGCTAGAGGGAAAAAAAGGGCACTATGTTAATTTTGGTTTTCTTTAAAGCACAAGGGTTTCTATTAGGATAACTGATAAATGTTTTATCACATAATTTTGGAGATATTTTTTATCCGTGAGTCCTAATTATCAACCTCGCTTATTATCATTAGCAGAAATCTGAATCTAAGATGGGGGACAGGAGCTGACAAAATTTAAGGCTTTTGTGTGTTAAAATATTTATGACTATATCCTAAGACCTTTCAGAAAGTAACTCTAAAATTTGATTTCAGATTACATGAAGTCATTTTTAACATACATGTGAGAGGAAATTCTACTTACAATGACTTTTATTTCTTTTCAAAAGATCTTTATTTTGAATTCCTTTTATTCTTAATTTACGTTGATTCTTCTTTTTTCCTAAGAGAGTTTCTCTTTTATTGATTACTTTATTCAATTTTCTTTGTTCCAATGTATGCGATAAAAATTGTTTGATTTCATTCATTGATACCTACAAAGAAAAAGACTTTTGCTCATTTCTTTCACATGTAGCTTTTAAAAATAAAACAATGAGAAAGTAAAAAATTCATCTATTCATGGCAAAAATACTAGTTTAATGTAAACACTCTAATTCCTGCTTTTATCAAATCTAAATGATAGGTGACTTACTTCACTTTAAGAATTCATATCGTTTATGAATAAAAACCTTTTTAAATTGCATTGCCATCCAAACTGCAGAGCCAAGCATTAAAACCTAAATGTTATGAACAAATTTAACCAATTTTACTCTTCTACTGGTAAGTTGTCATGGTAATATCAATCGTATGAGATAAAAAAAAAATGAAGAGTTAGTATTGCTTTATACATTACAACAAATTTATAATGGGCAGAAAGTATAGAAAATCTTGTGACTGGTTAGAAGAAAAGTGAAAAAAATAATTTTCCAAAGTAATTTCCAGGAGTTATATAATTAATCTATTTTAGTTAGAGAGAGGGATTTGGAGGGATTGTTTTTGAATAGTAGAAAATAATGCAGATTTTAAGAGAAAAAACTAAAAAAGCTTTATGGGCATACATATTCCTGATTTACCTATATACTTTTTCAGGAAAATTATATTGGAAGATTTTTTTAAAATCCTTTATTGGTCATAGACTACTTCCAAGAGGAGTCAAGGTTTTTATTTTTTTGCTTTTTTTTAGTATCACAATTTAAACTCCCTCTTTTCAATCACTCTCTAGAATGCTTAATGTCTTCCTATGTAGTGGCAAAGATATCAGAGCAGTGACCCAGAGGCTAGAGCAAGGACATGCAAGGACATGAAGCCACGTAAGAACTTTTTTAAAAACAGCTTTATTGAGATGTCATACACTATAATTACAAATGTATACTTGTACAGTTAAATTGTACAATTCAATAGTTTTTAGCATATTCACAGAAATGTGCCACCATCACCACAATTTTGTCACCTCAAGAAGACTCCCTGAGTCCTTTAGCTTTTACCCTCCCCATACTCCCATTCCTCTCACTCTCAGCCCCAAGCAACTGCTAACCTAAGTTCTGTCTCCATAGACTCCCCTATTCTGGATTTTCATACGAATGAAATCATACTGTATGTGGGTTTTTGTGACTGGCTTCTTTCACTTAGCATAATGTTTTCAAGGTTGATCCATGTTGTAGCATGTAGCGACACAATTCCTTTTTACGGCCAAATAATATTCCTTATATGGATATACTATATTTTGTCCATCCGTTTGTCTGCTGATGGATATTTGGGCTGGTTCCAACTTTTGGCTATTATGAATAAGGATGCTATAAACATTCATGTGCAAGTTTCTATATGGATATGTAAGGACTTTAAATGTGGTTCTTCTTATTGTAGGATGGCCAGATACAGCAAATAAAAATACAAGATGCCCAGTTAAATTTGAATTTCACATAATCAATGAATTTTTTTTAAAAGTATAAGTATGTGCCAAATATTACATGTTAACAAATAGGCCCACGTGTATAATGGCTCAAAATTAACAGGCAGTTGTTCAAGTCAGTGGCAGCTCTGCTCCGTGCTCAGGGACCCAGGCAGATAAAGGTTGTGCCAGCTTCAGCCTGTGGATTCCACAGTTTCCCTGAGCATTGATACCTAGCAGACAGAAAAGGAAAGAGCACGGAAGATCATGTGCAAAAAGGGTTTTGGTTTGGTTTGGTTTGGTTTCATTTGGTTTGCTTTGTTTTCTTTTCTTTAATAGGCCAGACCTGGAATGGCACACAGTGCTTTCAGCCGCTTTCCATTGGCTAAAACTATCACACGGCCTCACCCAACTGCAAGGAGAGCTGGGAAACATAATCTATCTGGGTGTCATGAAGAAGAGAACATGGACCTTGATGAGCCTCCAGCATTCTCTGGTACAATGGGATTATCATATGTTATTGCTATTAAAAGAAACTTTTTTTCAATTCAAAACTAGCAAACAGCTAAATTGAGGAGGTCGTACAAGCTTAGCAAATGCCTCTGATTGTCTGGCATTTCTATCTCTTTCTTTTACAGAGGCCATTGTTTCCTGATTTTGCTTTCTCTCTCTACTTGGTGGGATTTGGCAGAACAACATCCAGCTGGAGCAAGTATTAGGGGGCACTGGCAGACAGAGAATCTTCCTCTAATCCTCAAAAGCATCCAAAGATTATATAATTCAATAGTGTCTGTCTCAGGCCCTGTTCTAAGAGCTGAGGAGACAGCTGTTAACGATAAAATCTCTGCCCTCATGAAGCTGATGTTCTGGTGGGGAAGATAATAGTAAATTGATAAAAAGAGCAAGGGGATGGAATTGATAAAAGTTGGTGTTATTTTATATAGGTTGGTTAGGGACAAGTTCTCTGATAACATCTGAGTAGACTCCTCTGTGGGGAAGGAGGGAGTTAGTTATACAAATACCTCGGGAAAGAGAGTTCTGGCAGAGGGAACATTGAATGCAAAGGCCTTGAAGCAAGAGCACACAGGTATGCAAGGAAGATGGCGTAGCTGGAACAGAAGGGCTGGGTGGTAAATGATGAGGCAGAGAGGCAGCTCTGAGGCCAGCATCAGGATTGTGAATTGTATTGTATTCCGTGTGAAGGAGAGACCCTTCGAGGGTTCTGAGCAGAAGAGTGATGTTGACTGACATATTTCAAACGGATCACCCTGGCTGCTCTGTGGAGAATGTTACATGTTGGAGAAAGAGTGGGAAAAAACAAGGTCATTGAAACAAACTGGGTGAGAGTTGATGGTGGCAGTGAAGAAGGAAGATGGTAGGGGGAAGTGGTGATAGTGGTTGGCTTCTGGATATATTTCAAAGGTGTTACTGGCAGGATTTTCTGTTGAAGGAGTTATAATGTGTATTTTAGTTTTCAAACAGTAAATCCAACGGCAGTATGTTTTTGAAAGTATGTTTTTAAACTGCAAGTTTAAAGTATGTGCCTTGAAAGCATACTTTTGAACTCTCAAGACCCATTTATAGACTAGCTATAGTTCTTAATCAGAGTGACACAGTGTTTTGGCAATCTCTTACCTAGCCCTCCTGTCTCTTCACTTCCCTGGATCCTGAAGATTCATGCTGGACGAGTTTTTCTCAAGCATGTGTTTCAACACGTCACTGTCCAACTCAGAAGCCCTCAGTCCTCAGTGACAACAGGATAAAATCAAACTTCTTTGCACAGAATCTAAGATTCCTCACAGTCTGGCCTAAAAATGTCGTAGTAACCTTATTTCTTACTACTTTGACACCTACACGAACATCTGCAACAAACTCTTCTGCCCTCTGTTCCCCAAATGGAATATAGGTTCTTTCCTACTTCTTTGCCATTGCTTACACAGCTTTCATTGCCCCCTCTTTCCTATTATCCCAAACACCACTCCTGTTCCCAGGCCCAACTCTAATTCCTTCTCCCCGGGCCCTCCCATTTCCCTCAACCCACAGTGATTTCCCTTCCTCTGACTTTGTGGTGTCTTCCATCCTTGGTTAGCAGTAGCTCACTGCTCTACAGTCCAAAGCTCAGATCATTCTGCATCACATATTTCATGTTTTATTTACCTAATTAATTATAGATGCTTTGTGAACTTTTTAGTGTAGTTCTTATTTCTAGTAGAGTGTCTTGAGTAGAGGAAAGTCTGAGGAATGTGTAGATTTCTTTCTTTTTGGGAAATCCCTTGTTTTTTTAAAGCGGAGGAAAGGTAGAGCATCCTTTCACAAGAGAAACTAAATGGTCCGTAGGCTTAGAGGAAAGAAGCTTTGAATTTATCTCACTGTACAAGTAATCCTAATTTATTTGTGGCTAAATCATTATTTCTTGTGCATAGAGACATTTCCAAAGTAGGACCCAGTCCTATGGTACATTGCTTGAAGGCAAAACCAAACAATCACACAAACAAAAAACAGTACTGGAAAGCAGAACACATTTTTTTTTAATTTATTTTGTCTCAGTTAATAATAATTTACATCATTGTGAAATTTCAGCTGTACATTATTTCTCGTCTGTCACCACATAGGTGCTCCCCTTCACCCATTTTGACCACCCCCACCCCCCTTCCCCTGGTAACCACTGAACTGTTTTCTTTGTCCATGCGCTTGTTTATATTCCACATATGAATGAAATAATCTGGTGTTTGTCTTTCTCAGTCTGACTTTTTTTGCTAAGCATAATTCCCTCCAGGTTTTTCCATGTTGTTGCAAATGAGATGACTTTTTCTTTTTTTCTAGCTGAGTAGTATTCCATTTTATATATATACCACATCCTCTTTATCCAATCATCAGTCGATGGGCACTCAGATAGTTTCCATGTGTTGGCTATTGTAAATAGTGCTGCAATGAACATAGGGGTACATATGTTACTTTGGATTGTTGATTTCAAGTTGTTTGGGTAGATACCCACTAGTGGGAGAGCTGGGTCATATGGTATTTCTATTTTTAGTTTTTTGAGGAATCTTCATATTGTTTTCCATAGTGGCTGCACCAGTTTGCATTCCCACCAGCAGTGTATGAGGGTAATCTTCTCTCCACACCCTCTCCAACATTTCTTATTTTTAGTCTTAGTGATTATAGCCACTTTAACAGGCTTAAGTGGTATCTTAGTGTAGTTTTGATTTGCATTTCCCTGATGATCAGTGATATTGAACATCTTTCCATGTGTTTATTGGCCATCTGTATATGTTCTTTGGAAAAATGTCTGTTCACATCCTCTGCTCATTTTTTGATCAGGCTGTTTCTTTTTTTGTTGTTCAGTTATGTGAGTTCCTTATATATTATGGAGATTAACCCCTTATCACATATATGATTTGCAAAAATTTTCTCCCAGTTGGTAGGTTGTCTTTTGGTTTTGATCCTAGTTTCTTTTGCCTTGCAGAAGCTCTTTAGTCTGATGAATTCCTACTTGTTTATTTTTTCTTTTGTTTCCCTTGTCTGAGAAGACATGGTATTCTAAAAGATCCTTTTAAGTTCAACATCAAAGAGTGTACTACCTATATCATCTTCCAGGAGTTTTAT